GGGAGGGTCTCCCCTGACTCTGGGCATGCTGTAAGCAGGACTTGCCACACCAGGGACATTAAGACAAGCTCACATCTGCTTTGACCTCTAGAGCTAAGGGGGCAACACTGTCGCTTGCAGAGAGGGGGTGGGGAGTCGCTCCCAGCAGCAGAGCTGGAGGGGGACCGCAGGCCTAACCCTGCTGTGGCCCACGTTGCCGCACGGCGGTGGCAGTCTCGGAAGTGGGCACACGTTAAAGACCTTGTTTTCTCAGTTCTGACCGGGATCCTCTGTGTGATGGCCCCAGTGTCTTAACATAGATCCACAGTCCCAAGGAGGGCACTGGACTGGAGGCTGGCAGACTGGAGTCCAGCTCTGGCTCTGTACCCGCGGCCATTCCCAGGAGCTGGTCCAAGGGCAGGGCCAGTACCCAGCACAGTGCCAGGCATGCAAAGGGCCGATGGCATGTGCTGGAAGATTACAGTCTAAAGACAAAGCTGGCAGAAGGCAACCAGAAAGCCAGTCACCTGAGAAAGGACAGGAACGTGGTCAGTTGTTCACCCAGGACCCCAGTGTGTACTCAGAACGGTCAAGGGGCTCACAGACACCACGTGACAGAGCTGCTGCCCATCCCTCCCCATCCCTTCACCCTAATTTAGTTTTCTTCAAGGCATTAACAAATGCCACTCGAAAAATGTACTGCGTGTACTTTTTATTGACCTATTTTCAAGTTCACAGGTTTTGTGTTCTGCCCTGTCCAGACTGCTATTAAATCCGTCCAGTGAATTCTCACTTTCAGACAATGTGTTTTGGAATGCTGTTTAATTGTTCTCGTAGATTACACATTTAAAACATTTTTTTTCTTTATTGATTTTAGAGAGAGAGGGAGAGAGAGATGGAAACATCGATGAGAGAGAACATCGATGACACAGGGACACTCATGAAAGTCCCGACTAAACAATAGCAATTCCTGGCCATTGGACAAATATCCCCGCTCTGTTGCTGGGAGTTACGTGTGAATTTGGGGGGACACAAACATTCACACCATAGCAGTGCACGATTTTATTTAAAACTCACAAATACCCTCCTAGGTATTACTCCTGTCCGCGTTTACGGAGGAAGAAACTTTAAGCCTCAGAAGTCACTGCAAGGGACGTGCTGGGTCCTGGGCGATGGGCCTGTGGCTCTCTCGGCGTGGAGAACCGACGGGCAGGCGGTTAGGCCTTGTTAACAGGGGCGGAGAGAAGAGAACCAACTGAAGGGCTATCTGGGCCAGGTGCCAGCAGGGCCCGTTCGGACTGGAAGAAGGGTGTCTGAGCTCCTGGTTGAAGGGGGGTTTAGACAAGACTAGTAGCATGTCATACACATGTGACCTGTCCCATTTTCCAGCACACCGTCACACCTGTTCTTCAAGCCTGTGGCCACCCTGGAAGGCATGGGCACTCCTGATAAGGGTAATGGTGCCAACCTGGAACATGGGAGCTGGAGGGGCTACCGGGGACCCGGAGAGGCAGACACAGGGATAGCCTGTTCTGAATATGGCAGAGATACCCCCCACGTTTTTCGGGGACCCATGAACAACTCAAAGTCTTTCTGTGATGACTACCTGTGAACCAAGGGCTCAGCATCTCACCTAAGGAGAATGAAGCTATTTCCCTTTCCCTGCTCTCCTCTGTCTGATATAAACCCCGTCTTTGCCTTTGCTGTTGTTGGTTTCCCTTGCAAAGAAGCAAATTAGCATCTCTTTATTAACTGTGTCGGATTTCTTCTTTGATAGGAGGCACCATGATGATCCCCATTTGACAGATGAGGACACTGAGGCTCAGAGAGCTGGCTTGTCCAAGGTAAGGGGGAGCCAGGATTCTGATCCTGGTCTTCTGCCTCCCAGTTCTCTCCTCTCCATCCTCCTCCTGGACGGCAGTCCGCCAGAGAAGACAGAGCCACCCGATTGTAGGCTGTTAAAGGAGGCATTTCCAGGGGAAGAAATGGACTTAAAGCACTCTAGGCGTGTCTGACATGCTTGTGCTTCCCGGTGACACAGTCCACTCCCTTGAACCCCTGCTGTGCCAGGGAAGCCGGTGAGGCCCAGTTCAGTGGGAAGAAAGGTGGGGGAATCAGGGCTCTACCTGGGGACATATGTAAATCTGCCTAATTTGCTATTTCACATAGAGGATACATTAGGGAAGGTCAGACCGTCTCTGTGGCCAAGTCCGTTATGAAACAGTAAGGGAGCCGGGGGAACAGGCCACCAAGTGGACAGGCTGATCCCGGAGAGACAGCGCCACCTGCTGGCTCTCTGTGGTGTGACCCTCTCTGCAAAACAAAAGCCATTGGAAACTAGCAAGGCAAAGACACAGAGAAACCTAACTCGATGCTTTACTGTTTGGAGTTAAATTTGAGAACAGGCAAGGGCTTTATCCACTTAGCATTCCAAATGAAACCAAAATGGCTGTTAATTATACAATAAATATGTATTGAGCACCTATTAAGACAGACACAGTTTCTGCCCTTTGGATGTTGCTTCTGGCAAAGAATTCCCATCCTCTCTCATACACACACACCTCCCCCTACATACAGACCTATATGCACATACATACATACATACAAGCTCGTTTTAGGTACTCCTGAGTAGATATGTTTTATAATATATATCTGTCACTAAATTAATAGGGTAGCAGGATAGGATGGGTCGTGGTGAGCCTTGGAGCCACTGGCCTGGGCTTATATTCAATTCTTTCCCTTATTTTTTTAGCTGTGTGTCCCTGGGCAAGTCACTCAACCTCTCTGCCGCAGGGCTCTCACTGGCAAAATGTTACATTAACATTAAAATACATTTAAGGTAGTTGTACTGTATAGTTAATATATTTGAGTGCTCCATATGTATACAGCTTTAGAAAATTAAATTAACAAAACTTAAAAATTAACAGAACTTTTCATTGCGAAACACGGGAAAGGAGTCTCGTCTCACGTTCAGACACGCGGAGCGATTCCGTTTGAGGTGGGGCTGTGCTGGCCCACGCAGTTCATTTCAGGCCTCAGTTCTCGGGTGAATTCAGCCCAAGTCCCTGCTTTAAAGTGGGGTTTCTTTTTTTTAATCAATCCTCACCGGAAGATATCTTTCAGTTGATTTTCTAGATAGAGTAGAAGGGAAGGAGGGAGAAACATCGATGTGAGAGAGACACATCAATTGGTTGCCTCCCCCCAACCCCGACCAGGGCCAGGGGGTCGAACCTGCAACCCAGGTGCATGCCCTTGGCCAGGAATCGAACCTGAGACCCTTTGGTCTGAGGACCAAGGCTCACCGCTGAGCCAAACCGGCCAGGGCAAAAGCAGGATTTCTGTTGAGCAACTCTGCCAACCTTGGTAAACACGAGTGCAGTCTTCAAAGGTAAACAGCTGTTAAACAAACAGATGATGACCCAGAAAAGGAACAGCTTGTCCAACCTCCCTCTATGACCCAATCCCCCGCCCCGTGCAGTGCCCTGTACTGTGTATGGGTAACAGATGAGGTGACCCCGTGGCACAGGGCCAGAGTCTGTCCCAGGAACAGTAGTGCCAGAAGTGGCCTGATGTCCCAGATTCTACACAAATGTGACGGCCAATAACAATGAACCCGAGAGACCTCTTACAAGTGACCTCTGCCCTAGAATATCTCCGAAACTCAGAGCTTCTGTGACGTGAGATGACTTTTCTGTAACTACCGTTTATGAAACAAAAACTATCTGAAGTCATCCAAATGTTTCATCTCTCCAAAGAACTCCATCTATTTCTAAGGGGTCTGATACCAGGGTACTTTGAAGTTGTGACAAGGACCTGATATGCCACGATGTCAGGTCCCGGGAAGCTGTGAGGCAGACCTTGCATTTCGAACCAGGCTGTTGACACTGCTGTTTGCACAGGGGACGCTGTATCGCTGCTCTCTGTCCTGGTGGTTCTCACTGTGCCGATCTTTCCAATCACCCAGACTGATATCCATAGCATCTTCGATTTTCCACTTGGCAAAGACGTGTTAGGCACATAGGGGGACAAGCATGAATTAATTTCTGAAAAAAACATTTCCACTCCTGGTAGAGCTGATTCCTCACACTTCTGATAGGATCTGTGAGTCACCAGCTCCTGAGTCCGGCTAGTCACTTGCCATTCTGCCCGAGTCCTAATAGTCTAGGGAGTTTCTGCCACTCATGTCCCACTGCTGGTAAGTTTTTCATCATTCATTTTTCAGATGAATCCTAAGGGTCTACAGGTCTAAGGAAAAGCCAGAAGCAGCGAAAGTATGGAGAAGTACCCTGCTCCACACCAGATGTGAAGGCGAGGGCCAGTCCTGCGGCCTCTGGGCACCCACACGCCGCTCACGCGGGGACGTAGAGTGGTTGCCGGTACTCTTTGCAAGGGACAAGGTCGCAGCGGCGCAGGCGAGGTCCTGAGCCCAGGGCCTCCCTCCCAGCGCCCTGTTCGCCTGTCACCCAGTGGCTCCTGGGTGACTTCCCACCTCCCCGAGGCCACGCGAGCGCAGGGCTCACAGCAGACCCAGAAGGTACGGCCGGGCTTGACTGCAGTGAGTTCACGTGATGCAACCCTGCTCGCGAGAACCATCTGCTTTTCTTCGCCCTGAAGCGTGAGCTCTGATTACAGGGAAGTCCCCAGTGAGTGGGGGTGGGGAATCCCAAAACCTCGGGGAGAGGGGGCGGCAGGGGCAGCAAGCGACACTCAAGCAGACTAACGGGAACAGGCCTCAGGCAGGGCTCTGGGGAAGGAGCCAGCCTCTCCTTGCTCGTCTCCCATCATTCCGTTTTTTAGCAAGGCCCCTTCCCGGGAAGTAGAACATCATCAGGTGGCACCTTCGGAGGACTGCCAGTCTCTGCCGCCTCACTGCAGCGGCTGGCCCGGCGGCTCAGACGTGGGCAGGGGCTGCCCCTCCGGCCGCCGCCCGGCTTCTCGCCAGGCGCCCAAGCCTCCAGCTGGCCCCTCACCAGCACTCGGAACTCACTTCCCCACGAGAAACGAGAGCACGGCTTGGTAGCGACTTTTGTGGCAAATTTAATGGAAGAGTGTGAAATCATTCTTAGTTTCTACGAATCAAAAGGTCACAGGAACAAACTGAATGTCTGTGTCCCCTCAGAAGCCTATGTTGACACTTAACCCCGAAGCGATGGTTGGGAGATGACAGGTCATGAGGGTGGAGCCCTCGGGAATGGGTCCAGTGCCCTCACAAAGGGGACCCAGAGAGCTTCCTGGTGAGGACACCGTGAGAAGGCGCCCGTGTCACCAGAACTGAACCGCCGGGGCCTTGATCCGGACTCCCAGCCCCAGACCCGTGAGAAACAGTGTCTGTGGTTTGTAAACTGCCGGAGTCCACGGCATTCGGTTACAGCAGGAACAGACTAGAGACTCACTGCTATTCAGAGTGAAAAGCTCACACACCGTATCCCTGGCAGTTTATTTTAAAAATCAACACCTCAGTTATCATGTTCTCTTCCTTGTCCGGCATTTTTCTGAACAGAACAAGTTACAAAAAGCTGGGGGCGGGGATGTGTTCTCTGCAGACTGACATGTGGGCCAAGGACTCAGGGATAACAGTGAGTTCGAAGCTCCCAGTTAACTCCTGAATCAGGCAAAGGGCAAATGACTACACAAGAACAAGTTCTGTTGACAGCAACTCGACCATCAGATAGGACAGGGCAGTGGTTATCGTTAAGTTCACAATACAATATTCTGAGCCCAAACACCACACACTGAAACCACCCGCTACGGACAGGCCGGAGGGACCAGCCAGCCGCTGGCTGGGCAGCGACAGCCAGACCTGGTGAGGCTTCTCTGGCAGCGAGCCTGCCCCCTGTGGCCCTCTCGCTGGGGGGCGGCCTCTGCTCAGGGAGGGCCCGCCGCCCTCACTTGGAGTCCTGGTCTTTCGTTTCGTCTAGAAGGGCGGAGCGGATCCCCAGCTTTTTCAGTTCTTCCACCAGGTCCCCGTTCTGGTGCATCTGCAGGAGGATGTCACAGCCCCCCACAAACTCGCCATTGAGGTACACTTGTGGGATGGTGGGCCAGTTGGAATAGTCCTTAATGCCTGTGGGGAAAGAACATTTCAGTGTCATTTAAGTGGTCAGAGTAGAATTTTCCATTCCGAGTAGGAGACCTGTGTCCACCATCCTTGCTTTCCCCGTGCTTGGGGACAAGGTGTCCCCGACAGCGAGTGTCAGCTTTAGAGCCAAATTGGGCCATTATTAAACCCCAGCTCTTCCAGTTACAGACTGTGAGACCTGACAAGGTTTTGGGAGAACCAGGTGAGCAAGGCTCCCATCAAACGCCTAGTACCCTGGACACGGAACTCAGCAGAGAGCCCGATCGGCCATGGAGTCACACAGATACCCAGGGCCACTCTCCACACGCCTACCCGTCACGGTTTCAGTAGAACAAAACCTAAATGCAATGCCACAACTTCCTCCCAAGTGAATTACTTACCACGGATCCATCATGGGGACACTGCCAAGTGAGGCCGCGCCCACCGAGGCCTGTCAGGGTTAGGGAGTGTCACCAGTTACTCATGCTCCAGACGTTCGGCACTGGTTTTGTCTTTAATAATTCTTCCACCCAGAGAAACTCCCTTGCCTGTGGCTACAGACGGAAGCCCTCACCCTGCTCGGCCTTCAGCCGCGGGCGCTACGGGGGCAGGTGAGCTGGCTCAGGCTCCAAGTCACCGAGTAATGAAGGGAGGCCCAAAGCTCGTGTCGTGGTCCAGGCGCAGGACCGCTGGGCCAGGGAGACCCACCTCTACCCTCCAGAGCTCACAGCGGACCAGAGACCATCCAGCGCGCGTGATCGGAGGCAGCGCGACCATGCCACTGTTCTGAGCCACGAGGACGATGGCTACACAGAGCAGGAGTGAGGAAATGGGGTTTCAATCCTGAGACATTAAAAAGGACTCTTTCCTAATGCTCATCCTCACCATTCTCCTCATAGGTTGAGATCAAATAGCCTTTTTACTTATTAAAATGTTTTAATTGATTTTTTAGATAGAGGAAGGGAGAGGGAGAGAGATAGAAACATCGATGAGAGAGAACATCGATTGGCTGCCTCCTGCATGCCCCCCCCTGGGGATCGAGCCACAGCCGGGGCATGTGCCCTGACTGGGAATTGAACCGGTGACCTTCTTGGTGCAGGGGTCGATGCTCAACCACTGAGCCACATGGACCAGGCTGAAATATCCTTTTTAAAAACATATGTAGCCAATAAACATCTGTGCTAGCTATGTGAAAACAGAGGATAATCAAAAGCCTGACTTACAATAATTAGTCACTATAGATTATATGTAGCATTTTTATACTTATATAGATAGGCAGTTATTTTTAAATGGTCAAAACAAGCACAAAATAAGCAAAACAGAAAAGCCAACAGATCCTGCAAACAAAATACAATATTACACAAAATAAAAATTGGTCAAGCAGTGTTTTATGTAAATAAACTAAAAGTACAAGAACTGTTTCTTGCTACCCTATCATTTATTATCACACATTTATTTTCCAAATAAAATTACCAATGTGAGTTATATCACAAATAACTTTCCAAGATACAATATGTTTTTCTCTTTTAAAAGTCCCTGCCTTCTAAAAAGTAGCAACTTTGCTCCAAACGACAGCACTAGAGAGGCCGCGGGGAGCCGGGGCTTTATCTCCCTCCCCAGACCTCACGTATGACGGTATGCTTACAACTTACAGGCATGAAAAGCACACTTCTTTTTTTTTCTGAAATCTTTTGTACTGAGGTATAACTGACATATGATGTTGTATTAGTTTCAGGTGTACAACGTGATGTTTGCATGTATGAGTCACCACAGTAAGTCTAACACCTATTACCACACATAGTTACGTGTGTGTGTGTGTGTGTGTGTGTGTGTGACGAACACTTTAAAGTTCTACTCTCTTAGCAACTGCAAAGCATACTCCTAAAGTCACTCTGGGTGTCCCAAAAAGAAAAAAATCAACTCGCAGCATGGACTTACCAATACAGGGCAAATTCCACTAAGCGTCAGAATGTCTTTCTAGTGCCAAGTATCTAGAAATACTCAGGAATTCAAGCTCTTCAACATTCTGATGTTTGGTGCTACACAATGACTTAGCAAGTAAGTTGTGTATTTTTGTTTCTTTAACTCTATTTTCAAACACTGTCTATCAGAACTTATTTTGCAACGATGCCAGTTACAAATCTTTTTTTACTTTTATGATAACAGGCTGGGTGTGGGAATTAAGAAATGTTTAAAATAAGTATGAGATTCTTTTTATTCTTCTAAACTTTCTTAAATGTCTTGTACATTTGTATATGTGAACCATTTATGCACATGATATGATTTTTTTTCCAATGAATAATATATAGTATTAAGCTTTCCATAATAACTATCTACTGATTCTTTTGGTGAGTGCCTACAATTTTTGAAACACACCAAAAATGAAAATAAATTTGCCATGAGGGCCACCCAAAACCACACATTTAATTCTAGAAGGTACAAGTCTTTCTCTATTTTTTTTTTTTTAATCCTCATCCGAGGACATTTTTCCATTTTTTGCTCGAGTGGGAGGGAGAGAGAGGAAAAGAGAGAGAGAGAAACATCGACGTGAAAGGGACACATCGAGTGGCTGCCTCCCGCACGACCCAACCAGGTCCAAGGACAAGCTGCAACCGAGGTATGTGCCCTTAGCAGGTCTCTCTGGACCACAGGCTGACGGACGCTCTAACCGCTGAGCCAAACTGGCCAGGGCTAGAAGGTACAATTCTTTTAAACAAAATCTTTGCTGAGTAACAGACTGATTTGCTGTCATCAATTCTTTTTAGACTGTCACACTCGACCAAAGCACTGGGCTTGTCTTAGTCATTAAACTTTATGTCACAGACCATATGTCCTGCCTCCAAGGGGAGAGAAGGATGCACCACCAGGACCAAGCCTACCACCTGCCCCACCAACACAAGTGGGCTTTCCACCTGCCCTGCTGAGCATCGGGCACAGAGCCACCTGCACAGGAACCAACTCCTTCCAACCCCTCAGACAGCAGCCAAGGTGCTACTGGCTGATAGTTTATCAAATTCCAGCTTACCTGCTTCTTTAACTTTTAGATTAACAAGTGTTATAGGCAGCCGATGTCAAGGCAAAGCTTAAGCATCTTTCTTTTAAAAAAAAGCTATTTTCCATTCTTAAAGTCTGATTATGGGTTTAAACATTTAAGGAATATCCAACTAATTCCTACAGAGCAGTGATTTTTAACCTTTTTCATCTCATGGCACATACCAACTAATTACTAAAATTCTGTGGCACACCAGACTATCTATCTATCTATCTATCTATCTATCTATCTATCTATCTATTATCCTCACCCGAGGACATTTTTCCATTTTTTGTTCAGATAGAGTGGGAGGGAAAGAGAGAGAGAGAGAGAGAGAAACATCGATGTGAAAGGGACACATCGAGTGGCTGCCACCCGCACGACCAACCAGGGCCGGGGACAAACTGCAACCGAGGTCCATGCCCTTAGCGGGAACCGAACCCGGGTCTCTCTGGACCGCAGGCCGACGCTCTAACCACTGAGCCAAACCGGCCAGGGCCAGACAATATTTTTTTGCCAAGCTGACAAAAAAATTGGTACGATATCTATTCATTCACATCCGACAGCTACTGTGTTGGCTGTTGTTATTTTTTTATTTGGTCATCTAAGGGACACGAAGTCACGCCTAACCAAACAGTCAGGTATTGCATGTTTTAAAAGTCTTATGGCACAGCAGCTGAAAATTGCCACTATAGAATGAAGTGAGAAACTTCCAATAATAAAAGACCACTGTTCATAAGTTAAAAATTAAAATGAGTCCCATCGATTCACAATTAATTGTTTAAACGTGGCTCATTTCCCTCACATTTCGATTTTCAAAAGCTGCAATATACAGGGTTAGTTCTTACAAATATCACTTGGAAGTACTCAGAATTGAAGAGAAACGCTTGAAAATTCAAAAATTATAGCCAAGGATGGAGTGTAATGACAATCAAATTTTATAGATAATAAATACACAGTGATTCGATTTGGGACAGAAAATGTTGACTGTGAAGTTATGCACAGGGTAACACTAGGAAGTGGAGTTAGGAGGCTGTCTTAAACACACCTACTGCTCCACAAAAAGGTAGCATTCCAAGTACTAAGCCAGAGTGGAGAAAATGCACTGCAAAATTCCCTCCCAGAACTTCCAAAAGGTACTTTTCAAAATCCATCCCATTTCGGAACATCACTCTTCATTCCTGGTTTGGACAATACGTTTCAAGAGGACCGTGATTATAGTCCTCCTTTTTCCTGCTAGGCTTCACTACAGGAGCTTCAGAGTCGGGTGCAGATTCATTCCACCTCTGCCACTTACTAGGCTCTGTGACCTTAGGCAAGTCACGTCACCTCCTCCCGGAGTCACAGATTTCGTCATCTTCCCTGATCTATTTATTGGAAGGCACTGGGACTACAGATGTCTGAGCTGAAGCGTGAATAGCGGGCCCTCGATAGAGGGAAGCAAAGCGGAGCGAACAAGACACTGGCCTCAGGGTCACGTACATGCAGCCTCCGCTAAATCTGCTGCTCTCTTAGCCTCAGCTTCCTTATCTATGAAATGGGAATAACTCCATGCCGCACAGACTCACTGTGAAGACGACAGGAGATACAGTGTGAAATGAACTAAGCTCCACAGGGCCAGGGCAAGGTGGATAGTCTGTTCTCCACGTTGATGTCCTCTACCCCACCCTTCCCAGCAGCGCTTCTCCGAGAGATACACAACAGGTAAAGCTTAGGGAGAGAATGAAGGAAGTACCAACGAGGTATGCCATGCAGTATAAAAATACTCATTTACTGAGCTAAGGGTCATAGAGTGTCACCCTCTTTAAGTGTTTTACATACATAATCTCATTTAATCCTTACAAAATCCTACAAGGCTAAGTATAATTATCCCTATTTTACAGAAACCAAGGCTCAGAGAGATTAAATAACTGAACCAGTCACAATGCTAGCATATGCTGGAGCCAGGATTTATAACCAGGTTTCTAGGTGTCCAAAGGCCAGGATCCTGACCACCAGGGGTAGCCTCTGGCCTGTGGCTGGCCTCTGTCACTCCTGCCCACGAGCTACACTTGCACACACAGATCTGCAATATATGGAACAGTTTTTCATCTTTAACATTTACATACACAATTGGCATTACACTGTAACTACCTTTTTGCAACTTACTTTATGACTGAACATTGTATTTTTTGAAATTGAGTCATATAAATACATCTAGATCTAGTTCATTTTAACCACAATTTAGTTGTCCAAAATATTACTACATTAGTTTGTTTATCCAGTATGCTACTAATAGACCAAAGTCCCTTCTTGACAGTTTATCATTATTACAAGCAATGCTGCAAAGAACATCCTTACATAAGGGGTCTGTCTCTCTAGAACAAGGGATGACACACCATGGCCTTCAGGTCAAATCTGGTCTACTTCCTGTTTTAGTAAACAAAGTTGTGTTAGAATTTAGCCACGATTATTCATTTACATATCCTGACTGCTTTCACACTACAACAGCCAAGTTGAGTAGCTGTCCATGTAGACTAAAGTATTTACCCTCTGACCTCGAATAGCCACAGCAATCTTGAAAAAGAAGGACAAAGTTGGAGGGATCACATTACCAGATCTCAGGTTATACTTCAAAGCCCCTGTAATCAAAACAGCCTGTTACTGGCACAAGGACAGACATATAGACCAGTGGAACAGAACAGAGAACCCAGAAATGGACCCAAGGCAATTTGCTCAATTAATACTTGACAAAGGAGGCAAGAGCATACAGTGGAGTAAAGATAGCCTCTTTAATAAATGGTGTTGGGAAAATTGGACAGCTACATGCAAAAAAATGAAGCTAGACCATCAACTTACACCATACACGAGAATAAACTCAAAATGGATAAAAGACTTAAATGTGACTCATGAATCCATAAAAATTCTAGAAGAAAATGTAGGCAACAAAATTTCAGACATCATACGCAGCAGAATTTTCACTGATACATCATCACCTAAGGCAACAGAAACAAAGAAGAAAATGAACACATGGGACTACATCAAACTCAAAAGCTTCTGCACAGCAAAAGATACAATCATCAAAATGGAAAGGCAACCCACTGTATGGGAGAGCATAACTGCCAATGATACATCAGAGAAGGGGTGAATTTCCAATATATATAGAGTGCTCATATAACTCAACAAAAGGAAAACAAAGAACCCAATTAAAAAATGGGCAGAGGAGCCAGACACCTCTCCAAACAGGACATACAAATGGCTAAGAGACATATGAAGAAATGCTCAACATCACTAATCATCAGAGAGATGCAAATTAAAACAACAATGAGGTATCACCTCACACCTGTCAGAATGGCCGCCATCAACAAATCATCCAACAACAAGTGTTGGCGAGGGTGTGGAGAAAAGGGGACTCTAGTACACTGCTGGTGGGAATGCAGACTGGTGCAGCCACTATGGAAAACACTATGGTGTTACCTCAAAAAATTAAAAATTGAACTCCCATTGGACCCAATGATCCCACTTCTAGGAATATAGCCTAAGAAGTCTGAAATACCAATCAGAAAGAATATATGTACCCCATGTTCGTAGCAGCACTATTTACAATAGCTAAGATCTGGAAACAGCCCAAATGTCCATCAGTAGATGAATGGATAAAAAAGCTGTGGTACATTTACACAATGGAGTACTATGCAGCTCTAAGAAAGATCTCTTATTCTTTGAGACAACATAGAGAGACCTGGAAAGTATTATCCTAAGCGAAACAAGCCAAACAAAGAAAGATAAGTATCATATGATCGCACTTATTTGTGGAACATAATGATCATAACAGTCTGAGGAATGGGGCAGTCCCAGAGATATGGAAGTGGGATACAGAATGACAATCCCCAGAAGAGGTGGTGGGGGAGAGATAAACCACAGAATTTAAATGCATATATGTATGAATAATGGACATGGATAACAAAGCTGGGGACAGGGCGGGGAGGGAGGAATCAGTGGGGGGAAAAGGAGAAAACATCTGTAACAAAAATAAATTAATTAATTAAAAAAAATAAAGTATACACTACCAAAAAATAAATAAAGTATTTACCCTCTGGCCTTTTACAAAGGATGTTTGTCAACTCTCACTCTAGACTATATACTCAGGAGTGAAGCAGCGGGGTCCTTAGCTACGTTCACCTTCAACTTGCCTAGGTACTGATGGACACTATTTTCCACTCTCATCTTCAGTGTACAATACATCCCCCCACAAACACATACAACAACTTGTTATTCGACTTTCAAAGTTTGCCAGTGTCAAAGGTTTTTCTACTACTGCCTTAAATTGCCCAATACTGGAAAGGCTGCATATATTTTCAAATGCTTAAAAAACACCCAATGATGATTATTCATTCAAAAGTCACAGCTCCCAAAGCAAGAAATATAGTGGTGATCTGCACAGGCAGAAATTTAAGAGTATTTATAATAACATTTTTAAGAGTATGGAAGGGAACTGATATGAAATGATAAACAGAATGATATGAAATGATATGATAAACAGAAGAAACATCTACTTATTCATTAAAACACTCATTGAAAGCTTTCTCTATATAAGCATGTACACAGCACCCGGGCAGTGACATAAGGCATGGTCCCTATGCTCAAGAGGGCAAAATTCTACGTATATACAGACATGCATGATATCAGCTGTGTTTTTACAAAAAAATAAAAAGTTGGAACTAGATCTGAATGTTGACCACAGAGGGATTACAATCCAAAGCCTTTCCAACACTGTCTCATCAAAGTAAGAATGGCTATGATTGATCATTTCAAATGCAGGGTAACAATCATAAATATATAGAATTCTATATGTAAAACAACAGAACCTGGTGCTCTAAGACTCCTTTTAGACACTGTAAACTAAGCAATGGCAGGAGGCTCAGGGAGATGCCAGGGCTCAGTCATTACAACCCTCTAACAGTTAGAGGAAGATACAGCAGGCAAAGAAATACTAATGTGAAGAAATTTTGTGTTACGATATTTACATCAGATAAAGCAGTCTTGACGATGTTATTTAACTGGGTCTCCGTTAGTACAAAAAGCGAACAGCCCAATCAGTGGTATGAAAAATCTAAACTTAGAGTCTAACTGGAATGCAAGGTACAACTCGCTCCAGGAGGTACAGGCCCAACCTCCCCATTTCTCCACCAACTCCCACCAACCTTAGCCAAGGAGCAGACCCTTGGAGACATGCAAGAAAGGTTCCCAGCCTGGTGCTCAGCAGAAAAGATGCCAGTTGGCAGTCAGGGCCTCCCTCCACTGCCCTGGGCCAATGAAAAGCCCCAGGTCCTACCTGGCCCAGCTCCTTAAGCTTCAAGCTTGCATTAGATTAGCTAGGGATGAGGAGTCATTCCTTGTCCCTCTCCCAAAAAACCTCTCCAAGCCCTTGCCCCCACAAATTCTCCCTTGCCCCTGATTTCATGCCTTTTTCTCCCACACTACCAGATCCCAACCCAGACCCATCCAAAAACGGTGTCAACCACCTCCTGTAGCAACAACAGGTCTCTGATACCCTGAGCCTTGAAGCTGGAGAAGCCAGCCTCTGACCTCGCCAGGCTCAGACAACAGCAACCTGGGCTCCACTGTCCACAGCACCAGCTCCTGAACACCCACAAGGCAAGCCAACGCCCTCAAAGTATCCCCCAAAGTGCCCACCTCCTAGGTTCTTACTATATCCCCCTTCACCCCACTTCCGCAGTCCTGCAGAGCGAGCAGTGGGCTGCTGACCACTCTCCTCGGCGGCAGCCGGAGAGAACTCGCTCTATTTCAGCTCTGCTCGAGGATCGGCGCCGCTAGGACTCTCCCCAGTACCGGGTTGACCACAGTACCGGGGCCCCAGATCCTCAAGACCCTGTTCAAGTCAATCACGTCCCACCCAGACCCTCTGATACGATAGTACTCGGTGCCCTAACCCCGCTCGAACCCCACCAGGCCCCCGGCCCCGCAGAGCGCCTGGGCCTGCCGCCCCCACCCCGCACCCAGCGGGCCCTGACCTTGCCGGAGCTGGGGGTCGTCCAGCACGTTGTAGGCCGCGTAGTCGCTGACGCCGTGCAGCCGCAGGATCTGCACCACCGCGTTGCTGAAGCCGCACTGGGGCTGCTCCGGCGTGCCCTTGAGGAACACCACCACCTTGTCCTTCTTCACCAGCGTGTCCAGCTGCTCCGCCGAGCCGCCGCCGCCGCCGCCCGAGCCCGCCGCCCGCACACCCGGGCCCCACAGGCCGCCGCGCCCCCAGCGAAGCAGAGCCGCCGCCGCCCGGCCCAGGGACCCGCTCATCCCGCACGCTCGCCGGAATCCTCTACGGCCGGGGACCTCTGCCCTCCACCCGGAGCCTTTCCCCGCCCCGCAGCGACCCAGCCCGCCCCCCAGCGGCCCTCATTGAGCCGGCTTCGAACTGCTCGCCCTGATTGGAGAAGGCTGGCTCACAATTACTCGAGTGTTCCAATCCTGGTACTCGCCCCGCCCCGACATGTTGCAGGCGGTCCTTACGCCGAAACCGCATCCTACAGTCTTCCCATTGGCCCGCGACACCCCTCTGTCAGTTGATTGGAGAGAGTGGATGTCCATCAGGGTCACGCTCCGCGGCAAAGAGCGGCGAAACGCGAAGGAGACGGCTTTCCGCCGGAGGGTAGACCAGCCGGCTGCGACAGCCCGGGTGCCTGGGAAAAGCACTGGGCGGGGTTTCGCGGTTCCGTGGAACGCCGGGAAGGGGTCACTCCCAGATGAAAGTTCCGGTTCCGGTATAGGTGGTGGTTGAGTTGCCACGGCAACGCGGTTGGCGGGAGCCGGGTTCCTGCGTTACAGGCGGTCGCTGGGCGGGAGGAGGCCTGGTGCATCTTTCTCAGCTTAGGTGAGCGACTCCGGTGCCTCCCGAAGGCCGCGGTCGAATGCGGCCGTTCGTGGCGGAAGCCGGGCTGGGCACTGGCACACAGGCCTGCCCGGGGCTCCGTCATCCGAGCCTGGGCCCTGTTCCCGGCCCTCCCTTGGCCCCGCCGCCCACGTGGAAGCGGAGGTCCAGGCCCGGCCCCGAAGCTCCCTCCTCTGGCGCGCGGTCATTTCTTTAAAACAACGTTTATCTTGAAAGTTTGCAAAGCGCTGTCATCGGTGTGATTCCATCTGGGTTTGGGTTTCGCTGACTTTCCACCCTACTTACACCCTTGGGCCTGGCCCCGGGAAGGGTTGAGTGGGCAACTAAGACGGGAATTGGTTCCTTCGGCAAACGTTCTGTGAGCAGGTGCTGCGTGCTTGGCACGGAGCCAGCGCGGGAGCTCGGGAGAGGCCTGGTGCCCAAAGCTCGTAGTCGGCGGGAGAAATGAGAAGCAGGTGCCAAGCAACGTGGGGGTACAAAGTACAGACAGGAGGGCCCGTTGCTTCCTCTAGTCTCCATGCAACTTTTTACACCTTAACCTACATTAGTAGATGCTGACTAATTTCGCTCCCAGGCACTCGATTTTCTTCACTGTGCTTGGAGCCTGACAGGTGCTCCTGTTGGTGCAAGGAATTATTCCGGAAGGGTGGGACTCGGTGAAATCGCTGCATGATCTGCAGTCTTGGAGCCGCACTGGGTTGGTGGTACCCAAGAGCATACCAGACTTGCAGAAAAAGCATACTCCAGAGGAAGCTGAGGCATGACTGCTCAAGAGCCAGCATTTCCATGTGCAATTTTCCTCTGATAGTTCCTGGGTACTGTTGCCACGGTGATAATGACTGTCCCATGTCATTATCTATCCACCGACAGTAAGAGGAGCTTTGCAGTCGAGATATTGTTTAACAGATGGAGTGGTTTCTGTTGGACACTAAGTACTGCTACAAATTACATTGTTTTTAAACCTTAAGTATTTTTTAAATTGTTTCTGGGGTTGACCTGTTTCTGCGTTGAAGGTGCCCAAATTTAAAATTAGAACATGAGTACATGTGCTGTCAGCAAGTGAATCTTCCAAATAATCCTTCAGCGTGACACTGGAGCCACATAAACTGAAAGTAAACTCAAGACATTACTCAGAAGTGCTCCTCAGTGACAAAATCTCATCCCATCAATGGTATTTGATGTTTGGTAGTTTTCTAACGTGGGACCCAAAATTGATCAGCTCTTAATCTTTTTTTTACCCAGATTCGTTGATTCTAGGTAAATCCAAGGAACAAGCATCAAGAACAGAAGTATCCAGGAAATGGCGTGATGCAGAAGGAGAACCGTTGTTTCAGAAGTCCAGCATGTGGTACACTTAACAGTAGAGAATGCATTATTTCCAAAACCACCTAACTTTTACTCCTGCTTATGTTATAGTAAGTTGTTGTTGTTGTTTTTAATAAATATTGGTGATTTGTTTTTGAAAATGGAAAGTGTTTATTGCCTACTCCAAACCGTCTACTTCGTCTTTTGTGTTGCTAGGTCAAGGGAGAAGGATTTACAAACTGGTGTTCTGAGGATCTGGAGACATAGAGCAGTAATGACATCCCTTACCTAGAGTGTAACATTGGCCTCGGAAGCATAGTTTTCCCAGTTGTCAGGTATTTTATTAAGTTGAGCATTCAGCTGTCATTAAAGATTAGGAGTAATCCTTGCTCAGGAAGAAGACAAAGCCTGTATTTAGTAGAGTTGCTGCACTCAGTATGACAAGACCATACGTGAAATGTAAGCTATGGGAAAGCGTGTCCACACTCTTCAGGGAGCTAAGTGGGTGGCTTTGGTAGCATGCTCAAGGACAGGAAAAGAAATCACATAAATCACATTTAACCAAAGAAATTGGACCAATACACCTATATTTAAGTTTTTAATAAAGGAAGCAAAAATACAAAGTATGTATGTTGTACATAGTCATTTTTGTCTTTGAGTTAAAACCACTCTTGGAGTATTGGCTCCAAATATAAGCAGAGAAAATAGTAATTAAAATATTTCTTCCAAAACTCGTTTATGCGATTTGGCATTTCAATTTGGAGGTTTCTTTTCAGGAATTCTATAATGAAAACATGACACAAAAGTACTCTTTTAATAAACAGTTGTCAGACATCTGACATATTGCTCAACAGTATTTGGGTGTTTTGAATACAAGTCAATAATCTTTATCAATTTCTGGTCTTTCATCTGGATGTTAATGGGGATCTGGGGGTGGGAAATACACAGAAACTTAGGAGAATCCTGGCATTTTGGTCACAAGATATAGTTAGACCCCACACTAAATAATCAAGGCACGCCCTGGCCAGTTTGGCTCAGCCGTTGAGCATCGGCCTGCGGACCAGAGAGTCCCGGGTTCGGTTCCCGCTAGGGGCACGTACCACAAATAAATAAATAAATAATCAAGGCATGTAAACATGCTGATTCAGACATCCTAAAAATGTTTTTCTTTCCTGCACTTATTTATAGATAAGTCTTGACTATATTTGGTAAAATTTCTTTTTTCTACCCACTTCAAAAGCAAATTCACATAGAACCATAGTTTAAAACCTTTTGAATCTGAGATCGTGTCTTCCCATATATGAGACCTATATGAAGAGTCAGTTATTGAGCCCAGGACCATGCTTGCTTTGAACTCTCAGCCTGGTGTTTCTGTGTCCTGGCTTCAGTGTTGAAGTCAGTGCTGTGTTCTGACGGAGGGTGTTTCTGTGCACAGGACCTGTGATAGAAATGGCTAGGTCCAAGCTGGTCAGAGCATTCTGTAAATGGCATTTTAGAGAAAAGTAGGGCCCTGGCCAGTTTTGCTTAGTGGTTAGAGCATCGGCCTGCAGACCAAAGAGTCCTGGGCTCGATTCCGGCCAAGGGCACATACCTCGGTTTCGGTTCGTCCCTGGCCCCAGTTGGGGTTGTGTGGGCTGCAACCAATCGATATGTCTCTCTCACATCAATGTTCCTCTCTCTCTCCCCCCCTCCCTCCCACTGTGTCTGAAGATGAATGTAAAAATATTCTTGGGTGAGGATTAAAATAATAATAATAATTTAAAAAGAAAGAAAAGTGGCTGCTTGGGTTGCACAAGGGTCGAGCCAGCACACATTCCTGAGCTAAAATAGCATTTGTGACCCATAGTTCCAGCTGGAACCTGAAACCTTTCTCTGGTGTACTTAGCTATTACCCAGTAATTTTAGAGCGTCGCTGCAACCCTGGAGTGAACCTGGTTCCCCAACTGCCCTAAAAATAACACGATGTGTGAGAAAACAGCGCAGAGCCCCGCCCTCGCAGAGAATCTTTGCTAATCCCTAATGCAAAGATAGAAATGCCTTCTGAAGTTTTACTACCTCTATCTGACAGAGACAGCTGTTTTTATAAATACTCCTGGCCATGGGAGTGGCCTGAGTTTTGCTAATCGCTGTTTCCCACACCAGTGGGCTCAGCCTAAGACAGGAAGGAAGGCCTTGCTACAGCCCTCACCGGTCATAGGTCCGGCTCTCCTCCCTGTAAAGGTAAGAGAAATGGTGTGCTGATACTTGGATTAGCTTAGCCTAGAGCCAGCCGTCGGAGGTGCAGGAGAGAACGGGTTCCCCAGAGATGCATTTGTGAAAAGCCTGGAGACCACAGCAGAACCTGATCCTGCTCTGGGATTTGAATGTGTTGTGAACCCTGGGTTCCCATCCTAAGCATCCTTAAATACTTAGTTCTTGATACTCTGTGGAATTTTTCCACCCTTACTACCTTCCTGGATTTGTGAACAATGTGCAGCGTCTGCATACAGTTATTGTTGTTTCAAGATGTCATACAAGAGCTGCAGAGTTTAAGGAACCGAGTTGTGCTCTTTCTAAACATTGACCCCCAAAACAATACCATCTTGCATGTGTAGCACACCATCCTGTTCTTCAAACAGGTTTTGTGTACGTGCGCTCATTTGGACCTTGTCACTAACCCTAGGATAATGGTTCTCAGATATTTTGGTCCCCAGGTCAGGCTCTCATTCCAGCATTTGAGTAGAACATCTTTTTGACAGACTCGAGCGCTCTGGGTTCCCCCAGAGTGGTGTTGCCTTCACAAGCACTTCGTGAAATTTCACTGCTGAGTCATAACATCACCAGCAAGTCCAACAAAATTAAACATTCCAGAATTATCTTCACTGCCTTTGCATGTGAATATATTAGATACAGATGTGATTTTTATGGTTTATGGAACTAAAATAAACAACAACTTAAACCTAAAAACCCAATGAGAAAAATGGAAACCATAGCTTTTCGTTTCTAAAAGTTTTCTTTCGTCCCCATGAGTCTTTGCATTGAGGCCCAACTCCAGACCTCTGCTGGACTTTGTTCTGTTGAGAATCTCATTTTATTCTGAGGAAAATAGCCCAAGTCGTATCTCCTATAAGGTAACATTAAGTGGTAATCATAAAACATGTTCAGACTTGATTAAAGGTGTTAAGTGAATAGTCGGCTTTTCCCAAACTGTCTGTTTAATAAAAGGTTTTAGTGTTTTGCATTATGTGTTTCTTTTTTCTACCAGCAGATGGTTTCCGTAACTCAAAGTTACCATCCAGCAGCTTCTGAGAAAGTGCCCGGACCACAGAGTACAGAAAGCAAGGAGTCAGTGCTGTCGTGGGTGAAACCTATTAGGAAGATTTATCTGTTAGCAGAAGTTTATGGCCCCTTCTGATAGTCACTGAGTTTGCAGCCAAACACTTGGACAATTTTATTATTTTCTTTGAATGATTGCTAAGATGTATTGCCAAGGCCTTAAATACTCTATGATGAGTCAGAGTCCCACTCGGTGCTTCCACCTTTGAGCCTTAGTAATTTACTGCCTTCAAAATTAAACCTGGCTGCCGTGGGAATCCCTTGCTCCAGCCTCCTGCCCCAGCTCACCTAGCGAAGGGGGAGAAGCCGCCGCTTCAGGGAGGGGAGGGAGGTTGGAAATGGGGTGAGACGTAAGCTGTTCATTTTCTTTTACAGGAAAAAAATGGGAGGATTTTAAATACTTTTCTGCTCTTATGGCCTGAAAAATTCCATTTGTTAATTTTAACTTTAAACTTTTTGAAAGTGTAGCCTACTGAGATATAGTTAACTGTTTTCAAATTTCAGTGAGCCAGAGTTTCAGAGTTCTAATAAAAGACTGTTATAAACTAATTATACTGTGTGTGTGTGTGTGTGTGTGTGTGTGTGTGTGTGTGTGTATGGTAAGGGGGTCACTTTGCATAGACCTCACTTGCTGGATTGGGTGACCAGGAGAACTTAGTGTTCAAAGCCTTGAAGAGAAGGGGCACTGTTGGCAGGCCTCCCCTCCCAGGCACTGGTTTCCCTGCATAGCCCGGTTCAGTGCAGCGCTGAGTGTATCCAGTTGGCGGGATGGAGACTTTCATCTTCATACCGCACAGCTGCAGTGACAGTCCACACCTACCGCTGGCTGGCTGGGGACGGCCAGTACCATCCTCTTACTTGGAGGGATTTTTACTTATGTTAAAAATCAACACGTCATATTTCAGAATCATTCTGTCTCCAGAAACTTGGAGCATTTCATCATGCGCCGCTGCCTTACTTTGCAAGGCAGGTAGGGGGCACTAGTCTACTTTACCGAGGAAGCAGGGGCGCGAGAGCCAGTGAACAGTGTCCCTGTCATGACTGAGAGCAGGACTCAGTTCTCACCAAGGCCTGCTCTCACCTGAGGGCATGGCTTCCTTGCTTAGTTCTCTAATGTTCCAGCCACAACAGGTAAGAAGCAGTCAATTTAAAAAGTTTAACACTAAAAGCAGGAAGAAGCAATAACTAACAGGTTAACAGGATATTTTAAAAAAGAAGAGGCAGATAGATATTCTGTTTTTTTTTTGTTTTTTTGTAAAGCAGCATTCTGGGAGCATTTGCTCCCTATGCCTTGAGCATCGGAGACTGTGTGATAATATCAAGTCACCAGGGAAGGGAAATTACATTCTGTGTACTCTGGATAAGAAGTCAAGGAAATGTCATGCATATTAGATTGCCAACAAAAATTATACACACACATGGCTTAAAGAGGTTATGTTTAAAATAATAAACCAGGGGAATACATTCTTCCCTCATTGTGCTGGACAAACGGTGTCATTCTGCTTCTGTTATGGACTTCACATTAGTCCATAGTAAGCCCCTTAGAAATACCTAATTAGGTGGAAGAGACATGAAATTGGATTCTTCTAAGCTGCATGAACCAAATGTTGGGCTTGAGAGCATTCCGACGACATCAGGCCCGGAGACGGCCACCCGTAAAGCAGCCCTCTGAACGCGGATGCACAGTTAAGAGGCCTTGCAGAATACAACTTGCCCTATTTCACGGCTGTTGGGGACCAAAGCCCTTCAGGGGCTGGTGTGTGTCATAGTTTCATTTTTTTAATGCCTCCCCTCCCCCACCACTAGACCAGCAGCTTGTGGTCCGACTGAATTCCTTTTTGCCCCTGGTCCGCAGCACAGTACCCAGTACCTAGTACGTGCTCGATGCGTAGTTCTGGAATGGAGAGCACATCACATGGTGACAGTGCAGGACAGGATCTCAGAATCCCAAGTTGCATGAAGCTCCTGGCTTTGCCGTGGGAGGGGAAGAAGCATCCGCCCGGGGAGCACCCACCAGCTCTGCTGAGTAGGTAAGACACCCCCCCCCCCCAAAGGCCTTGCAGTCATGACAGGGACAGGGACAGATGCAAGACTGTCACTAGTGCTGGAGAAGGGAGGGTGGGCCTCCTGAGTACAGCAGTTGGCACCCCAGGGCTGGCTGTTGAAAGGTGAAGAGCCGCTATTGAAAAGGGAAGGACTTTGGAGCCAGAGGAAACTGTCAGGGCCCGCGAGGCCCGAGGCGCAGAGGCGTGGACAGTGCTGGGGCTTGAGGATTTCCTCTGCAGGCCGAGGGGAGGTCACAGAAAGAGCATAAGCTGGGAGTTCTTGAGAGATGAGCCTAGTAGGGTGGTTGAGGATGAACTGGAGGCAGCGAGACCCACAGGGAGGCCAGTCAGGAGACTAGGATCCAACCACTGCAGGTGTTCCTGACCTCAAACGTAGGACTGACAGAATTTGGCAACTGGCTGGGTGTGGGGAGGGGGCCAGGAAGAAGGAGGGATCCAGGCTTGTCCCAGGTTCCTGCCTTACATGCCAGTGGCTCCTACCTGGTGAGGCAGGGCAGCCGGGAGGATGCTGGAAGGGGTGAGTCAGCATTTACCTTTGGACTTCCTGAGTTTCTAGGAATTTGAGGCATCTAAGTCACCAGGTTATAACTGAAGCATAGGGGAGAGTATTCAGATAATTGCAGCCACAGGTCTGGACCTAATGATAAAAGAGGTTTGGGGAGGAAGAGCAAGAAAAAGAAGAAAACAGGGAGGAACTCTGGGGAGGGTGTGCAGTTGGGGAAGGAAGTCCCGAAGAAGACCGAAAGGGCAGGATGGGGAGCAGAAGCAAGAGCTCCCAGGAAAGGGCCTGGTCACCAAGTCAGAAGCCACAGGGGGGCCAGGCAAGGAGCTGAGTGTTTCCTGGATTTGGCAGTGCAGGTAAACATGGCTGTGTGCTGACGCAATCAGAGCTCCCGGAACCTCTCCGAGTCTCTGGAACTCAAAGGAGCAGCCCAGTGAATTTGTAAAGTGTCATCTGGCTGGCGTGTGTGTGTGTGTGTGTGTGTGTGTGTGTGTGTGTGTGTGTATACCTTTGTTTTAGGCTGTCTTAGAGTTTGTAAATTGAGCAGACAGGGCTGAGTCCTTGTGTCCAGATTCTCCAGTGACACAAACACATTGCCATTTGGATGATGAAACAGCCCGGATGGCTGAAGCAGAGAACTAATCCCACAGGCACAGTACCAGCAAGGACCTTTTAAACACCCAAGGCCACAGGGTGTGTGTGCTGCCTTCCCTCTTGCCTGTCGGGGGGAGGGGGGCTACTTCTATCTGCTGAACCTAGCTCTTTAATTAGCCAGGAGGTGCCTTTATGGCACCTGCCGTTTTTCTGGGCACACTAGCTACAATATCAAAGAAGACCCTTAGGATTCATATTCTTTAAAATCTCAGGCCAGGGGCTGCAGGTCCTTGGAGACTCTGGACCAGGTGTGTCTGGAGCCCGCAGTCTGCAGCAAGAGTCCAAGGTCTTGTGGAAGGAGGCTTCTGCAGGGAAACATCTTTCTTCGCTCCAGAAGCGTCTTTGGTTCTCAAGACTTGTCACCCAGAGCCACGGTGCATACAGACGCAAGCCCCTGCCACACCAATAAAGGGGTCAGCTGTGCCCCAAGTGTGGGCTTCCGCAAAGAGCAGAGCTTTCCTGCTCACATGGTGATGGTGGGGGTGGCACACATACCCGGCATGGGTTCTGCTGCCCTGAGCCTGGGGCCGCTGCCCGTCCGCAGGGCAGGACTCAGCCTCCCCCAGCTTCCTGGGCACGCTGCCTATCACACAGCAATGCTAATATTATCACATGCGCGGGACAGCGAGCCGCTCAGAGCAAGCAAGGACACTCCTGTGGAGTTCAAAAGCACATCCCCAGGGAGCCAAACAAGACAAGGTTTCTCTCCTTCGTGGTGAAGTGTTCCTCACTCACAGCCTCACGCTGAGGTGGTTTCTGCTGTGAAGTTTTGTTTGAAAGCATAGTAATCGGAGGGTTTCTTTTCCCACTACAGCACACATTTGCACAGAACAGCACTTTTGTCTGTAGCACATTGTCATTCTCTGATCTTCACGACAGCTCCTCCAGGGAAGACAGGGCAAGAAGTGGCCCCGTCTAGACCTGGAGACGTGGGGAGGGGGCTGGGCTCACCCAGCTCGGCCAGCTGGGGAACACGCACCCTGAGAGAGAGACCACGTGGAGGTCTCCATCCGGTGAGCTCCTCACGCTGCCAACCCCCAACAGGGTAGGCAATGCTGACATTGTCAATGTTGCATTCAGGTTTCAAAACAAAAATAAATAAGCCAGGTTCCTAAAATGCTACGGTTTACACCCAAACGATGAAGCCGGAAGGGTGAGCAGCAGTGAAGCCGGGACTGAAGAGGAATCGCACAGCTCACGTGTCTGGTAACCAAGGAAATAGCCAAGCGCGGATGTGACTTCCCTGGTACAGTATACAACAGTTCAGAGAACTCAAAACCACATTCGTTATCTGAAGTGGCTCAGCCAGCCCTTGTGCTTTATATCTATGCAACTCGAATGCCGTTCCTGCAGCTGAGCATGTCACCAGCATAACTGGAGGGCTCGGCCCCGCTGCGTGCACGCGCGCACACACACATGCACATGCCAGATGTCTTGCCTGTCACTAAAGCTGGTGCTGTTCTTTGCAAAATACTTTTATATTTCATCATAACCTTGACCATAAAGAATTTATCACATTAATGAAGCCAGAGCCTAATATTTTGAGTTCAGTGTAGCTCTGTGTAAAGATCTAACCTAAGAAATGGACAAGAATCTCATCATGACCAGAAAATCATCCTCCACTTTTGCTACCAGTCAGGATGTAGAGTGATAAGGAATGTGGACCAATTTTTTAAAAAATTAAAAACAAAAAACATTGTGAGCTGAGGCCAGATTGCCTGGGTTTGTACTTTGGGTCAGTCATGTGATAGCTGTGTGACCATGGGCAAGTTATTACCCTCTCTGTTCCCTCATTTGTAAGAGTAGATAATAATTATAACTAACCTGAAGGTGGTGATAAAGATTAAATGAGGTCATATAAGTAAAGGCTTAGGCCCGTGCTTGGCTCTAGTAACCCTTTAATAAATGTTAAATATCATTATTGTCTCCATCATTCAAACTGTAGCTCACATCTCGCCTTATCCAGAACACCTTTCCCAAGCACCTGAGCCTTCACTCCTCCCTCCCATCTCTGGATTCCTCCAAGAGTCACTTCTGCACCGTGCAGTCTGGCAGTTGATGACTTGCAGTATTATCTTGTTACTCCAAACAGTGTTTCAGTCTCAATGTTGCTTCCCCAATAGATTGCAAGTTCCTGATGGTAGGAACCATGCAGTTTGCTTTTGTTAGATTTTTAAGTTCACAGGCTAATCCTGGGCAATTACTGGACACTGACACATTCCTGGGGTACGTTCATCACTCTGAGTAAGTAGGTAAAAATCTGGTGGGTGGTATTGTATATGGGGACTCTAACTATTACAACTGCATAATCTGCAA